AGCATCAAGCACCACCTTTTGCACCTATAATCCCCTGAAACCAAGTAAATGCAATGCCTCTATGGGCAAAGGCACAGAAACAGGCTTCAGCAGTGGTTCTCTTTGTCTTTCGGCAGTAGTTGGTCATTAACATAAATGAAGAGCAATAAAACCAAACAAGTTTATACCCAGTTCAACACCCACATCCAAAAAACATGTTACTACAATGGCTTGATTCCTCTTGACACCAACAAAAAAGAATGATCTGAAAGCCTAAATGCTCACCAAGCACTTTGCAGATTCTGACTGGCTTCAGGGTAAATTATCAGTGATTACCGCTAACATCAGGATACAGTGTAAGGCACTAAAAGGAGACAATTATGAGGAATTACCTGCTATTGAAACAATGGATCAATTACGAGGTACAGCATAGTAGCTGCAGAGCAGCATTCTTAGGCTCTGAGGGTACTGTCTCCTCTTTCTCATCAACCAGAGAGAACCCACAGTTATAAAAGCTTAATTATCCTCCAGGAGCTGGTGCTTGCTGACTAATTAGCCTCTTGTTGAAACAATATGGAAAAGATGGTAATTCCAACTGTCTGCAAAAACAGCATGGCACAGACGTGGTCCTGGCTCTTCCCTAAATGCTGGTCTCTCCTGCCTAACAAGTATAAATATAACAGTCTTGATAGCCTCTGTTCCGGAAAACCTAAAAAGAACAGTCCTCAACCTAAAATAAACCTATGGAAGGAAACTCTGGGAGGTGCAGGGAGCTGATAAAGAGAGAATAGTATATCTGAGGCAGCATGTAGGGACAGCTGGAGTTCTCCTTTCGCTGCTTCCACTGGTGCAAAGCCACCCTTTTCTCCTATCAGTGCAAGTATGCAAATGCAAGAAAGCATTTGCAGTGCTTTCGTAAATGGAGACTAAGCTGCATTTGCTGGTCATGTTAGTACAGCAGCTGCATCCTTAAAGCTTTTCAGCTGCATGGCAGCAGTTAAACCCCAAGATTTACTGTCAAAATTGTTAGGAAGGTAAAGGTTGAAGTCTTCGGGAGCCAAGTTCTTGGCTGACAGATGACTGTAGTCAAGAGCCACCCCAGCCAAGAAACAGGATCTTGCTGTATATGGCAAAATATCACCAAAAAGGTGCAAAAGCCTCTGGCAAATGGGTTCATCCAGCACCTCCCATCATCCTGGTAAAGAAAATGTTTGATGCCTGGGCTGATGAGCAAAACGGAATATCTGCAGTAACATGTTGCTCATGAGTGAGCTTTTAGATGAGTTTACTGCATAGCAAGTGCAAATACCCATTCTGGTTAATAAATCAGTGTTGACAATACTTGCAGTTTGCAAACACACAGGAAAGGATCATTTCAGACCATGTGTGCTTCATGCTGGGGTGAGAGACACCTGAGATTTTCCTCCCACCTCAATGACTTCACCTTCTGGTTTTGGCATGTGAAAACAGATATTGTTGTATACTGAATTATCAAAGCAACTAATCTCTATTCTCATTCAACCAAAATTCCCCTTGAAATCCACCTCCTTGATGGAAATCTGTCTGCGTTTCCTGCTGCTTCATCAGAGTAGCCTCGTGACAACTACTTGGGTATGTACCTCCTGTAATGCCACAAAGGAGAAAAGGGAGACAGCCACAGTTTGTTCCTGGACAGGTTAGCTCTGGATGCCCATTTTCAGGCAAGGCCCTTCAGGTCCCTTAACCATATTTCACTCAGTCTGGAGACTGAAGTCTTCTCCTTTACTCACATTTTGCTTGGACAACAGAGTCAAAGGGTGACCACCATGTGGTGGTCAGAATATGATGTCTAGCTTTCCTGCTGCAGGCTATGGAGCAGTGTGAAATAAACAGTAAATTATTGTGTGTTTATCCATCCACCCAGGTTAGATGGATAATTTACATCACCATGACAGCTCCACCAAATCTTATTCCCTTAAAAAGTATCATGTAAAAACACAAAGATTAAACACATGAATGTAAATGCTTCCAAAAAGCCAGTTCAGCATGAGGTCAAGCCTACTGCTTTAACCAGTGCATTGCTGCAGGTGTGCAAAGGCACCTTCCACACAGGCCCTGGGGAACGGCAAGCTGCAGCACACAAACACTGCTCATGTTCTCATCTGTTGCCTGCATGATGTAAGGTAAAAATTAGGTGAGCCTAGAAAAGTTGAGAATGGAAAACTAAGAGAGAGTAGTTATAGGGGAGATGCTCAAAGTTGTAAAAAGCTGAACACTTGGGTTCACTTACTGACTTGAAAAGTTTCTCCCACAGCAATGGTACAAGCAAAGGTAGCAGAATCGAACAGCCTTGTACTGAAACTGAAGTATATTCAAACTGAAATGTCTGCAAATATTATTATCACAATCTGAAAATAGAAAAATAATGTATTTTAGGAAGTAAATGATCAAAGTGTTAAGATGGCAGACGGATAGCCCTAGATGCTGTGCTGTCCTGGAAAACATAGATCCTGACACCTGACTTATCCATTCCTTCAGGCAAAGCCATCCCAAGGCCTCTAGGATGTAGGGATATGGACCACTGAGTTAAAGCTGTACCTGAAGCAAGTCAAACTACCCTCTACCAGCTGGCTGTGCAGAAGAGCCCAGAAGGGAGGGCTGCACAGCCAGCCTTAATGTGCCACACAGCTGGCCTGGGAGTCTGGCAGGGGCACAATGGGGTCCCTTTGACCAGGGTCCTGTGAGGCTCTCCCCAAGTAGCCAGCACCCAGCAAACCTTGGGCTGCACTGAAGCGTGTCAATGCCCTCAAGTGTGTCCAGGAATGGATGCTGACAGCAAGACTAGAGCAGAAATGCCCTGTGGGAAAGCTGCTCTGCTCATCAACAGCAGTTTTCATCAACACTGGCTGCAGCCCCGTTACACCCTGAATATGAAACAGTGGGAGAGCCCAGCCCCAGCTGGCATCCACCAAGCCAGATCTTCTGTAGAGAGGATCCTGACTGAGCAAGGCTCTTTTCATGCAGCGACAAAAAGACAGCGGCAATCTCAGAGTATTTTAAAATAAGGACCTGGAGTAAACAAAGCACAGGACTTGGTAAGAATACAGAACAGATGCAGTGAAAGAGGCATCTAAGATCAGTTCTCCCATATCAAACTCTACACAAGCTCTTAAATCAGGGTGAAGGATAATCAGAAGTACATGTACATATATATATACATATACACCATGTAAAAGTTCAATTTTTGCTGAGGAAAAGCCAAAAGATCAGCTTCCTGCATCCCCCGCCAAGGTCTGTGCAAGCACAAATGAGAGCGAGTGGTCCCCAGCTCTCCAAGCCAGCAAAACTACTTTAAAACAAAACCTGAATCATTTGCAGGGATCCGAAACCAAACCCTCGACACAACGAAAAGATGATGTGATTCGCTTTTTGAGACACAAACTACTCTCCAGCCTCACCTTGTAAAACCTGGGCTGTACATGTGACCCCCCAGCTTTAAACTGGGGTTAAGTATTTAATGGAAATAACTCTTCTGTGTACAGGCTCTTGCAGCACACCACGGAAACAATGTTTTGGGAGAGTGCAGATGCTGGTGCTAAAAAGTTCTCTAAAATTCAGGCTGGAAACAGTCTGCCTTCTAACGCCCTGAAGAGTAGGAAAACAGGATCGATCCTTTTTCCTTCTTTCACAGGGTGGAAAGGAGAGGGTGGGGGAACAGTTTTTTCTGTGTTCAAGTTTGCAGGAGGATTTTTTTGCAAGTCTGCTTTGTACCGCCCGCATGAAACAACCGGCGGCAACCTCGTTCCTCTGATTTCACCCCTTTGGCGATAGATTTATGGAACACAACGCCACTCTTCTTTCACGGAAATTTCTTCCACGGCAGATGGGGAAGGCAGAGAGGGATTTACAATCTCTGCGAGCCAAGTGCACGAAGACGAGAGAACAAAACAACTGCGTGCGCCAGGAAGAGCTACCGGTGACCAGGAGTCACACCGATGGGGAGGGAGGGGAGAGCACTACGGTCACTGCACACCCGCGGGCAACACATACACAACGCACAGCTCGCGCGGTGCTCACACACCTTGCACGCACTTGTGCCCTGCACATACACACTATGGTGCCTTGCAAGCCCGATCCCGCAACGGGGACCCCTAGCCTGCCCCAACCCCATCCCCCCTTCGCTCCCGCCCCACGGCTCACCTCCCCTGCGCGACGGCGGGGTGCCCGGCGGGGCCCGGCCATCAGCACCCCATGATGGGGCGACGGCGGCGGGGCTCCTCCGCGGCGCTTCAGCACCGTGCGGGCCCCATGTCCGGGGCGGTGGCGGCGGCGGCGGCGGCCGGCGGGCTCATGTCGCCATGGCGGGGCCGCGGCGACGGGGGGGGGGGAGAGAGAGGCGGGCCGCCGCCGCCACCGCCGCCGCGCGGGAGGGGAAGGGAAAGGGGGTTAAAATAAAACAAAATCAAAATTAAAAGGGAAGGGGGGGGAGGGGGGGGAAGCGAGAGGCAGCCCGCAGCCAGCCGCTTCCCGAGGGAGCAGGGGAAGGAAAGAAGGGCCGGCGGGACCGCCTACCCTCAGCCTATCCCCGCCTCCCGCCTTCAACACCACTGGGCGGGAGGGTGGCGCCCGATACCGCGGCGCTCCCTCCGGAGACTCTAAAGTCCCCATGCACTATCCTCCGCCGCCCGCGGACGGGGAGAGGGGACGGGAGGAAAGCGGCGGGGGAGGACTTTCTTCTCTAGAGCCGTCCGGCGGAAGGATCACGCGGAGGTAGCACCGCAAGAAGCTGTGCTCCTGTCCGCCTGCGCGGCTGGGGAATCGGTTGCGGTACCCGTACGGTGCCGAGGAGGTTCCACGGGGGAGATTCCAGTGGCTCCCAGCCCCGAGCGCCAGTGTGGTGGAGCCGTGGGGCCGTGCCGGGCTGGTGGCCGCTGTCATTGCCGGGCTCGAAAGCCCTTTACCCTGCTAGCGGGAGTTGAGGGCTCGGGACAGCCGTCTGCCCCTTCTAGCAGCCCCTTATCGAGGGAGGCTTAAATTCGCCCCCCTCAGTGACACTGGCAGCAGGCAGGTGAAAGCTTTAAGGTTTCATTTAAAACACTTTCAAGCAAAGGCGTGGTTCCAGTCATCTTGTGCGCATGCGCAGTGAAGGGTCAAGTTCTCTCTGCTTTTATGTCGGTACCGCGTCTCCCGACCTGTGTTTGCTAGGAAACAGCTTCCTGTCGCCTCTAGAGTTGCCTTATTTAGCACTGTGCAAGATGTAAACAGGAATTTACCCTTGCTTTGTTTAATTAGTCTTTTCCCCAGCACAAAGGCCTGCAGGAGGGATTGATTCACCATCTTTTTTCTTCTCCTTTCTAGAGGGCACACTGTCAGTTCCACTGACACAGATGGCCTTAAGTACCAGGGAAACCGAGATGTCTTCTCAAAGCTCCATTTATTCCTTTTGTTCTCTCACCTTAAGAACTGGACAGCTAAACTTGTGAGCGTTCAAATCTTTTGTAATATAAGGTTGGTTGTTTTGGTTTTTTTTTTTTTTTAATCTTTTCTTTCCCGGAAGGAAAATGTGTTATAATGCTGTGCAGTAAAGACTAGGAACAGAACAAATGCTTTGCATGAAAATCCTGGCACTGCGAAGATGAGTGGCAAAACCTTGCTATACCACCAGAGGTTGAAATTAACAGATAAACGCAAGAGGTTCAGAGCAAAGGCAACTCATTTTCTTTAAACTCGTTCCAGTATCTGTAGTTATTAGCTGTTCAGACAGCACACAAAGGAGGATTTCCTCTAGAGATAATAAGCATGGTGACATAAATCAAGCATAGAGAGAGCATTTTTTTTTCTATTTATTTCCTGACGAATTAACTCTGAACCAGTCTGCTAAAGTTTCATGTGCCATAAGCTTTTTTAACCCTTTCTCTCATTAATTCTCAGGCCACACTTATAAGACTTAAAGGAAAAGCTATTTTTCTGCAGCAACCAAACTCCCCTATGCATAGGGTGAACTGCTTTTCAAATCTAAGCTTGTGGTGTGCTGCTCCCTTCAATTTCTCTTCCTTTTTATCTTGAAATAGGATATGTCTTTTAGAACTAAGAAATTGCAAAGAAGGGCAAGTCCCACTGGAATTTTATTTAGCTTTCACAATGTCATTCTAATTCTGCTGGGTCTTGTGTTTAAGTAAGTCTGTAAAGTTGTTGAGGTTTTCCAAAATCGGTTCTCCCCACTGGTCGTTTGTGGCAGTGACCAATGAAGGTAATTGAGTGATGGAATTAGCTGGGAAATTCTTGCTGGAGGTCTGACTAGTGCTGTCCCAAGACTGTTCCGCTCCCGCAGTTGCAGCACTTCTTGTGTATTCTGTTTGCTGGAGGCATTTCCATCAGGGCCCTTCCCAGAACATTCCACATGTCAGCGCTGGGAGCCTGAGGCCGTGCAGCACATCCTCGGACCAGTAGACTGTGGAACTGATGGCTTGGCAGTAACCCCTAGTGCTAACATACTGCAACAGAGTTCCTTTTATTCACCTTGTGCTGAACATGCCCTCAGCTGGATGGGTACAATTACAGTCCTTTGTCCTCTGTAACAGTAGGAAGGGACAATTGGGGTGGCACCCAGATAAATTGAAAGAGGCATGATAAACTAGTCAGCTACTGGATGGATACTCCTCCTTAAGGAAATCCTGGAGGCTGAGGAGCAAGTCACCTGACACAGGCGAGACCTCAGAGCAGGTTGCCCTAGCAGGGTGGTCAGCAGGAGGCAAGGTCTCCCAGGACCACCTCAGGCCTCTGTAAGGAGGTGGCCTAGGTCTGGGAATGACTTTCTAGTGGTCAACGTAGCAGCACAGTTGTACGTATGCTGAGAAGACACCACATGTGCTGAGCAAGCAATATGCTTTGGTAGCAGGGAGAAGCCCCTGTTCATCCTGGGGGGGAGGGGGGTGGGGGGTGGGGGAGGGTGTGGAATGAAGCATTATCTATTTCAAAGAGACTTGACAGGACAACTGTGTTGTCACAGACAGCAGGTACAGTGGACTCACGGTCCAGCTGTGCAGCAGCAATGTGGGTTGCTGTGGTTACAGCAAAATGAAACATGTCCCAGCCTGGCTCCCAGTACAGTGTGAAAGCATGCAGTTGGCCACTGCCTTAACGCAGGCTGGGCTCTAGAGAAGTGGCAGTCCAGTAAATATTAGACCAGAGACAGATCCACATTAGTGGAAACAAGAAAATCCCACATGCAAGGCATGTGTAGTACCTGTGTCTCAGCTTATGCAATGCCTGATTTTTCTACCAATGAGTGGAGGGAAAGAAGAGATGCTACAGGATTCACAGCCAAATCCCAGGATGTTGAAAAGGGAAGGACATGGATCTTTGCAGCAGACATTTCTATTTGTGCTGTTCAAACACCCTTCAGAGGGAAAAACAGATGCTCTTGTGGTTTGGCTCTGTGTTCTGCTTTGGAGACCTAAGTGCTATTCACTGTGTGACTTTTGACCAGTCAGTTAAACCCACAGATGCAAAGGTGAATACTAATTTTCATATCCACCCAACTTCTGTGTACACAAAGACCAGCACAGGAAAGCAGGCTCAATGAGTTCACATAGGTATGTAGGCAGCAACTTCAAAACAAGGATAAATTTACCCTTGTGTCAGGTTGGTTGTGGGGCTAAATTAAAACATTTTGTAAAGCATTTGAAATCCCAAGGGGCTAGAGACATGCAAACCTTTAATAATAATGCTGTTTGGTTTCAGCTTGTCGAGGATAGTGTAGTGTGGCAGAGTAAGTCTTTGTTATTCCTGTGTTTGTGCTTTGACTCCAACCATTATAGTATGTAGCTTGTCTACATTTATTGCTAACCTCGGATCTTTAAAATAGCAAGCAAGTTTTGACCAGTCCAGAAAAGGCAATGTTGATGTTGGTTTAAAGAATAACCAAATAAAATGTTAAAAATAAATTCAAAACTGATCTCCGGCGTAAAATTCAGTGGGAGCAGAGTTCTCATCAGAAGTCATGTTCATCATGAAAGAGGAAGGGCCTGAAGCATCATCCATGGGCAGGCTGAGCTTGGGCTGCAGGTAGAGGAAACCCTCACAGAAGTATCTGAGTGCTCATGAAAGCAATGAGAAGAGAGATGTCTGCTGATAGCACTGAAAAAAATATCCTAATGAGGCTTACTCAGGGCTTGGAAAGACTTCCCTTCTTTGAGGGAACTCCTTGTTTCTGCAAACAAGGATACACTCTGTTTTCTTTTTCTAGAGGCACAGTTTGCAAAACACTGTTGTGGAACACTGGGAAGACCAGCAGAAGGAAATAAGGAAAACCCTAAAAAAAACCCCAGTTGATGCTGAAATTACCTGACAAGGCTTTGCACAGCTTTCTGGGAGTAAGTGTGCATCAAATAAAAATCATCAGCATATCAGAACTCTCAAAGAGAAATTAAATGGGTTTGAATTTAAGACCTTTAAGTTCAAACTTAAACAGGAGAGATTCAGCTTAGATATAAGGAATAAATTCTTCCCTGTGAGAGTGGTGAGGCCCTGGCACAGGTTGCCCAGAGGAGCTGTGGCTGCCCAGAAAGCAGTGTTCAAGGCCAGGTTGGACAGGGCTTAGAGAAGCCTGGTCTAGTGGAAGGTGTCCCTGCCTGCTGCAGGAAGTTGGAATTAGATGAGCTTTAAGGTCCCTTCCAACCCAAACCAGTCTGGGATTCTATGATTGAACTGTCTTTGGCCTTTGTGAAAACTGAACTGTCCAAAATCACTCATTATTTTTGCAAGTCTTACCCTTTCTGTGCCATAAATCAATCAATATAATGATAATTTTCCAAATAGAGTGAAAGTCAGTACATATAAATGGTAAGACTGTTCTACCTTTTAAGTACATTAGTTATGCTTGCTCTTACTGGCATGAAGAATTGCCCTTTGAAAAAAAAAAAAAAATCTACTGTTCCTGAAATATGTGGTAAAGGAAAAAAAGAAACTAGATGCAGGCTTCTTAAATTCTTTCAGCTTCAAATGTAGATTTCCACTGCAGCAGGACAGACCATCCCTGGCTTCAGTTTCACAAGCAGAATTCAGCTGTTCCATGCATGAAACTGAACCTAAATTGTTGTCCTGGCATGGAACAAGAAGAGGCATCTGGCTGGTCAGCCTAAGCAAGCGCCCTTTCGAAAGTACTCTGCCTTGGTTTACTTTTTCCAAAACAGAGGAGGAAAAAAGCAACATAAATTCTCTGTCCCAATACTTGTCAGCTTTAGGAAAAAACAAAACAAAACAAAACAAAACCAAACCAACCAATCAATGAAACAGCTTGCACCCAAAGTGTCTGAGATACCTAAACCCATTTTTTAATAAAAAAGATAACAGAGACAGCAGCCATGGCTACGTATAGCCTGCACAGTCAACACATTGTGTAATTGTGCAATCTATTCTGCCTCTTTTAAATCAATTGTCAGTTTTAGTGCTCTCCCTTATCGGAAGTTATCACCTGTCATGCAGGGAGAGGCACTCTCAGGTATGTAGCCAGCTGGTTTTGATTGCAGGTCCGCAGACTGTGTGTTAAAAGAAGTCTGTTGACAGCAGAAATCATTGTAAACTGAATCACAGGAATGCCAGATCCAGTTTAACATCTCCATGGCCTCTTCGGACTTCATAGCTGTTACCACACTGCCTTCTGTTAGTCTCTCACAACTCCTTCCTAACAGCAGGAATCGAAATTACTTACTAGGAAAACAAACCCTTGTATCTGAGCTGAAGAAGATTCCCTTACTATCTGTTCCCACCATAGAGCTTCTTGAAACACCAAGACATGTTTCTGCTTTCAACCAGAACACTGAAATACATGCTTATGTTTAGCAAATGAAGTACCTCTTTAACAGTTGGTGATTAATTCAGAAAGAACAACTGTGTGTGTTATATCAACCTTTTTACCAGATTTATTTTTACTAAAGAAATGGCCCCACAATGTGATTTTCTTAACCAGAACAGATATTTTCTCTGGTTTGCTTTACTATTTGGAAAACCTTCTCATCTCTTTCAAATCTATTCCATTTAACTTGGTAAATCCTCTAGACTGTGTCACTCACCCTAGGGATCAAACCTGTAAATCAGTCCTTCCTCCTAGGAAGTAGATGAATAGTGAGATACGCATGTTGCAAGATGTGAGAAGGCCAACAGCAGACAGGAATGTATCTACAGCATTTCCAATTTTACCTTTGCAGCATTTCCAAATTTACCGTTTTAAAATTTCTAATTTTACCCATTCACACTTTTAGTATTGGCAGTGTGAATGATATGGTGGAACAGCTAGCTGATAGCAATATTTCATGCACGTTTCTCCTTAATTTTGTTTCATATCTATGATCTGCAAGCCTGAATCCAAATTACTATAGGAAAAAAATTCCTTTTAGTTTAACTGTCTGCATCCAAACCTTTTTGATCTGCCCTTCCAAAGGATAAAATGGTGCCCAGATTTAAAAAAACTTTTCAATAGTCATCATCTGCCATTAAGTTTAAATCTTGTATAATTTGATTTGAAGAGATGTGTTTTCTTGAATTGCTTTCGGAATTACAGTATAATTTCTTGTGGCCTTTCTAATAGTGCTAGAAGCAAAACTGAATGGTAATACATCAGTACAGGAGAAGCAGAAAACTACCTACTGGCACAGTCCAAGATCAGTAAGTAAATGGGCATTATAAATGCAAAAGTGTTAACTTAGTCATAAAATTGAAGGATAACTGAAGTTGGAAGGGACCTTCAAAGGTTTTCTAAGCCAAACTCCTTCCCAGAGCAGGGCTAATTTTAAAGTTAAATGAGGTTGAATAGTTTTCTACTTTGCATGTAACAAAGACGATGAATAAGTGCATGGAGATGGACATCAAGGTAAATCAAGGCAAATCAAGGCAACAACAGCTGTGTACTCCTAAGCATACCTGCTCGGCTAAAGCAATTTTATCATGGTCTTCAGTAAAGGAGAAACATATAACAGTACCTCAAAAATTCATTCTCTCTGGCTCATTTAATACATTTAATATATTTTTCCCTTCCAGAACTTAGAAATTTATTTCTTTTCTCCATGTGACTACTTAAAGGCAGTTCACATTAATTGTCTGACTGTGGTTATACTTCAGTGTAGACATCATCCTCATCTACAATTGTGTATTTTATGTCCTGAAGAGTATCGGCATTGGAGGAGTTTATAAACTTGAAAAATGCATGGTGTTTCTGTGCCACTTGTATACCTGCCTTTTTAAATGGATAATTTGCTGCCCAGTAATATCATGACTTGCACTTTTCTGTGTGGATCAGGATCATGTTTGCTGACGCTCTTTTGGACAGAAGAAAGGTTGTGGATGTTACAGAAGTGACATCCATTCCTGCTAGCTAAAAATCACCTGCCACCTCAACTGGATATATCTGTCTGTTTCCTGCCCTCTCTCCAGATCCTTGCTACTGGGGCCTTGCTTTTCTTCCCCAGAAGGAGATGGGAGATTTGCCACAACTGCAGTGACAGCAGTAGGAGAGCAGACACAGATTAGGCAAGGTGTTGGAGGATTTTCTGCATGCTCTGTAAGTATTTAGGGAACTATGTGATACGTGATCCTACAGATGAGGTTAGGCAGTTTGAACTTTTGAGTTAGACCCAGCTATTTCCAGACAGGCAAAGCTACCTTCTGACTGTACATCTAAATTATTTCTTCTGGCAAATAGCAGGACTATGTTAGTGAAATGTGCCTGGATATAGTAGCTTAAGATAGAGCTATGCTGGAAATGTTCCTGCAGCTGTTCCTTGGAAAACATCTGTGCTACTGTGCATGGAAATTTGTATATCTCTGTTCATGCTAGCACAGAGCAATTAATCTTGTGAAACAAAGTTAAATTATTATTGGGAAATATGAGAAGGACATTATGCACCAGTGGACATTATATGACTAAAGGTAGTTACCATTTAGAAACAAAGGGAAAAAATTGAATATTCCATTTCTGGCATAGGAAATAGAGGAAGATTGGCAGACTCTACAAGACTTCTAGAACTCTGATTGCTGGTTATTTGTGTAAGAATAACCAATCCACTGAATTTCACCCCTAGGGAGGAGAGAAATTTTTTACACTTACAATTGAAAAAAACCTTCCATCTGTGATAATTTGTGACAGTCTGTGTTTGTATAGTCTGATAAAGGGAAGAATATACAGGTTGGCATGATTTCTTATTTACAGATAATGGTTACCCTATGCAAAGCAGAAAAGGCATTGCCCCAGAGAACTCAATTTTAGCAAAAGACATACAAAGAGGGTAACTTAAGAAACCCAGGAAGGGACAGAGAGATGTATTTTGTTCACAGCAAGTTAGATAACTAAGGGATTTTTGATCTCTTGAGGCTTTCAACTAAAGCTTGAGTTATTAGAAGGTGTGCTTACTGAAATGTAATGACCTGTTGTATTCAAGAACTCAGGCTCAATCTGAAAAGTGAGTGTGTAAGGAATTCAGAGCAGCATGGTGAGGAATGAGGGGGGGAGATATCTGACTGCTGGCTGGCAATTTGTCACTGACTGCTCCTGAGGCAGGGCTGCTGCTAAGAGCTGATGAGGCATTAAGTTGCACGTGTGACCTGTCATGTCATCTCCCAGCAGCTCAGAATGATCTTTGTGGTACAGAACATCCATACTTGGCCATTTTACCTGTTTTCTTTCATGATAATGATAAATGCATTGCATTGCATGATGAAAAAGCAGAAATCAAGATGGAAGTATCTTCCTGTTTTTGTGTGGATCCTTTCTGCAAAGGGTCTTCTAGCCTCTCGGTGTTTAATCCAAATTATATAAAACGGATTTGCACCCTGTTAAATCTGAAAATAAATTTAAAATAACCATTCACAGTCCTCATAACAGAATGCCTCCTAGAAAATCATTTTACTCCACAGCTGCCTGGTTTTACAGTCAGAAAGGTGACTGCTCTTTTTTTCTTGGTTTAACTTTTAATGACTAATTTAAATTCCATTTATGCAAAATCCCTATGATTTTGAAAATGCCTTCTGAAAAATATGCACAACTACCTTTCAGAAATATACTTTAAAAAGCCTTAAGTGCAACATTGCCTAGAATTATCTTGTCAATTAAATAAAAGAACCCACTTGAAATAAGTGACAAAAATATACAGTGGATGAAATGCACCTTCCAGTAACAAATTATTATTAAAGGAGACCTTTAAGCAAACTGCTAGTTATGTGGTCATGCTTAGAAAAGCACAAGGTTATTGAAACATACAGCTTCCTTTCAAGACAATTTAACTTGCACTGAAGGCAAATTATTGCCATAAAAGCACTGAAGCATGTTGCTCAGGCATTTGGTGCAATTCTCTTGGCTTCTAAAAGGTTACCCTCGCTGCATGAAGATGTCAGTGGGATCAGAATTGAGTCTACATCTTCAGCTGCCATTGGCAACGCTGCCTGCAACATCTTCCTACAAAAAAAAATACATATTAATCTGATATTATTATCAAAAAAAAAAAGATGGGAAGCAGTATTGTAATAAACTTGAAGATGCAATATAGATTTCTAACAGTAGGTATAATGGAAATCAGTGAGACTGAGCCAGCTGACAAAGGAGCTGCAAGAGGACTAATACAGAGGACACCTAAACCCACCCAGCACAGAAATCATTAATAATAATTGTATTCAGTGGGTAAGTTATGAAATGTGTCACAGATTTGGAGCCTTTCCTGGTTTTTTCCTTTTCTCACTGCATGGAGAGTGGAATTTGAATGAGGTGGAGCAACAACAACCTGTGGGCAACAAAACTGCAGTATTCTTGACGTGGCACTGATAAAATCATCCACCAATGCCTTCCCCTTCTCCATGTCTTTCCATGTCTTTCCATGTCTTTCCATGGGGTTTGCACTGGTGGGGTGTGGTTTCCTCTCTCTCTTCTCATGCTGGAGCCATGTCAAGGCCTGCAAAATGAGATCTGATGATGTTCAGCAGTAGAATACGTTGGACACTGTGCTGGCAGGCTTGGCAGTTAGCTCCTCAACACCACTCAGTCTCTTCAGCTCTGTCTAGAAAAGGGGTCTTCATGAAAACACAGGCAGAGAATTAGGCTCACCAAATTCACTCTCCAGCCATTTCCTCATGCTCTGTTAGTTTTGGGGATTGTGATTTGTCAGTTTTGGGGATATATGTGATTACCGACATACTGTATGTGGGCCTACTCAGGGCCATGAAATAATAGACAGGGGCTTGTTCATGGTGTTATTTCTGGAACAAAATCCTTTTGCATCTGTGAAGATTCTCAGGGAAGACTTGGAATTTCCTTCACAAATCAAGTAATGGAGTTCTTAGCTATATTTTACAAGTTTTATGCTAGCTACTGTACAGGGAGTAATAACATTTTCTAGGAAAGATGTGTTGTCCAGTAGACTTTTTGATCTCTCTCTTCTAGCAACCTCATGTTACAAACCACAAGTTAGGTTTCTCTGTTGTCAGAGGGGAATTTGTTTCTCTGTTGTCAGAGGCATTGAGAAATGCCTTCTGAGACAGTTTAATGTCAAAATTATCTCTGATGAAACCAGATGAAGTGGGTAGGGCTGAGAAGACTGCATTAAAAGAGCATAAATGGGGTGAAAACAGACCAAATATTAATTGAGGCAGTGAAAATGGAGGTATGAAGTAGTCCCCTCAAGCACTTTGCAATGACATTTCATCTCCGCTGGAAGTCTCATGCTGCTCCTTTGGTGGTTTGCTGTCATTTGCCTTCTTTAGAGGAGGAAGTTTTGTCATTTAAGTTAAACAGATGCACTTCCTCTTGTCCCAGGACTTTGATGCAGCTGTGCTGGTAGAGGGATACTTACATTGATGTAAAGATAAAAATATGGTAGCTTCTTCTTTCTTTTTTTTTTTTTTTCCCAGTAAACAAGGTATGTGTATTGCAGTCTGTCCCAAACTGATGAAGTTTCCATTGATCTGTGTTTGGCTCTTGTTGGCTCAAAATATGTTCTGCTAAGTTTCCTGAGTCAGCAAGCAGGGTTTCTTTTTTCTGCACCCTCCCTTCCCAATTTGAACAGCTATTTTAAACTGGAGGTGTGGCCACTGAGACAGACACACAGGTGCTGTCATTGCTGACCTTGACATTTGTTCTGTTGCCAATTAACCTTTTCCCCCAACACCAACTTCCTGTTTACATTAACCCTTGATCAACAAGCCTTGTTCTCCTTCTGTCTTTTAGGAAGCATGTCATAAATTGCAATAAATTCATCTGTTTATGGATTCTGAACTTGACCAACTTCCATGAGTACAAGGTGAGAAGTGTGAAATTATACTCCTCCATACTGAGGACAGGCACTGTACCTGTGAGGAACTCTTACGCCTACTCCTACTAGAGGATCAAATGCCACTCTCCTTTAGGGGCCTCTCTCAGGAGAACAAGGTTTAAATTCTGCAGATTTATGAATCATTTCATCTTCCAGATTTGTCCCCTCACAGAGGGCCTGGTGAAGAGAAGCCTCAGCAAAGGTTTCAGTTTAGATAGCTTTTAACATCAGGCACTGGTCCCACTGCTTGAAAAAGGCACACAGTCTGCAAAATATTTCCCAGATACACATGTGTGTGCATATATATATATACATACTTACATAGCCTTTCTAATAGGTATATCTCTGTATAAAATCAAAATGTACAAACTAAGGTCATTTTACTTAAAGAACCTACTTTTACTCCCTTCAGTGAAACAGAAAAACCCCAACTGTCAAATCATCCAATTTAATTAACACAGAGATTTCCCCCCCGTGTGATACCTTTTAAGGAGTTACAAAAGAATAAGCAGCTCTCAAGGGCAAAAAGATCCTAGGGCAAATCTCATTTAATGTGGGCTCTCTTGGTGTTTGATACTTCACCCATATTCTCAAATGAGCTTGAATGATGTTTGAAGAAAATGGTAATTCATGCCATGAGCTGTTGTCTCTTCCATCACTGCAGAAAACAAGGATGTTGGCCAAACCAGACACGTTTTCTTCCCCTAGCATCAGGTGTGGTGTCCCTAATCATCACATAGCAACAGCTTAGTCTTATGGGGAGAGAAGTAGTCACAGCTCTCTGACTTCTGCCTCCCACTTTTCAGCACTGCAGCTCTCCTGGTGCTGTTGTCCCCCATGCCAGGATAATGTGATAGCAGCAGGGTACTTGGATTAATTAATGGTTATAAAGCTCGTGGAGCTCTTTGGTTAAACAGTTCAAGGAAACGATTGTTCTAACTGACCCCTGTTGTTCTTACCTGGGTGTCCAGTTGCTGAGTGGGATGGCTGCTTGTGTCTAGAGTGTTAACTGCCACCTGTCCCTTAATTATGAAGGTTTGTAATCCTATTTCAGTTTGGAAATCCACATGCCACAAGGCAAAATTAACGTGTCTCATATCATCACCTGCTGGTCAATACACAGCTTTTACCCATCCATAACTATTCCCAGTGAATTGCTGGGCAGACATGCCAGCACATATTCTGCCAATCGATACTGGAAGACAGTTTAGCAAGGACATATAAAATAATACCTATTTATTTTGATGGCATTGGAATGTCTCACATCACAAGAAATATCTTTTCTTTAGTTTAAAAGTTGTTTTGCAGAGGTTAAGACTTCAGTTATTAGGATCCCAAAATATTTCAGATGGAGTTTCCTCCAGTTTTAATTCCTTTTTTTGCTGCTGTTTCCCATCAGCCTTATGGTTCAGTGTAACTCAGGAATTCCCTTCTCAAAGGCTGTTTGAGTGCTACAGCATCTGTAGCTAAGGAAAGTACAACTGAATTTTCACTTACTGCATCTTTAGGTCCGAAAGAATGTCAAGAAGGAACTGCTATTCTTTAAAGCACAGCACACCATCTTCCCTCATTATACTGGAAACACTTCTCATTTTTCTCCCCATGTACACACTTCCCTCAATCACAAATAAATGCCACATTGAAAGAAAATTATTCCCTGTATAAGTAAAAACCCCAAACCCAAACAAACAAAACAAAACCAGATTTTATTTCTAGGCCTTACCACAACTCCTCCTTTGTCCACAACACTTGATTGTTCTGCCAGGTCCAGACAGCATTGGGAGCAGACTCATTTTCCCTGTTTATAATCCCAAAGCTGATAATGCAGTGATTACAGCAAGGATCCCTGGGCTTTGGGGGTTTGCTTTTTCCTTGATCCTCCTCAGCTCTTTGCAAAAACTCAGTGAATTGCACACGAGCAAAGATGCAGCAGGGATCCTTCTCTCCTAAATGTTGTAAATGAGCCCTTCTGTTGCAAGAGTGTTGAGTCCATGCTCTTATAACAGATTTCACCTCCTCAAACTATATGAATGATATTTTTGAAGTATTCTATTAGGTTGAAATCAGTAAAAGGAAAGGAATGCCTGTGTTGACTTAGAAATCTGCATTGACATTTTTAGCATTGTGCTGTGTTTACAAAATGAACCTTTTTTTGCCTTTTAGGTAAACTGAAACGTATGTTCCACTATGTGCCTCAATACAGCAGTCAGAGGAGGAAGAACATCCATACTCCACCTCTGGGATGGCAAGATACACTTCAGAATGTGGAAGGAAAAAAAACAGAGAGACTGGAGCTCTAAGCCTCATATTGTAAACATCACCCAGATGATGCTGTGGCAAGGAATCAATTTGAAGTCAGCTCCATTAACAGTAATCGTTGTTCAGACTGCAGCAGATCCACACCTTGTACTTCAGGGCCTAAAACTACTTTTATAAAAAATAAAAAAATAAAAAAATTGGTTGGCATGCCAGTTCATCTCCCTCACAGGGATGCTGTGTTTAAGGGGGCTCAGATACATCTGATGTATCACAGCCCAGCTACAGGACTGCTGGCCTGTGTCAGGAATATCCCAAGGAATAGTTGTGCATATTTATGGGAATTTAAGAGTGCTTGTCATCAAAATAAACTTCAGGAAATTGTTGGCTGTTATCACTGGCATTGCAGACAGGAACCGTGCCTAGAAATAGAGATTGGCATAGCAACATTGCTGACTGTTTTGTAGAGAAGGCGGCTTATTTTTCCAGGCCACAACATTTAATAAACATTTTCTGTTTATTGAAACTGCAGAACCTCATTAGATCAAACTGAATGCTAATCTGCTTGAGTCACCATCACAGACTTTTGTCTCCAGTGTATACACATCACGAGTCTCTGTGGTTTCGTTATTTTGTCCTGTGACATTTGTTCCTTTGTGTTTGTCCACAGAAAATAGATCATGGAATGCATTGAAACAGCCACGCAAATCCTCCAGACGATGATTTATTTTGCGAGATCCTGTTTTATCTCATCGTTAGGGCCTTGGTAAGCTTGAGAAGCCCTCTGATACAACCCGACTGGTTGATAGGCACAGCTGCCAGCCATTCGCCTAGGAGCTTTTACCTGAAGCGTCAGACCTTGGACTCACACTCCACACGAACGGACTGCAATTACAGAGAAGCTTAGAAGCAAATATCCTAAACACTACGGAAACACCACACTGTAAATAAAACTCTTGGCTTGAAGGAGAGCTTTTAAATCCAGACAGGGTTTTTGAACCTTATAGAAACAGAATGGGAAGTGTCCCGCAGATACACACCCAGGAGCAGAGCTACCTCAGGTCAACTCCCCCAGCCCCCGGGACAGCAGCTCGTTTTGCCGTTATCCTTTATTACAGCGCAGGGGAGCCGTGCGGACGGACGGGAGGTGTTTGACGGCGGCTCCTCTGGCAGATGGCTCACCGGCGGCCATCGCAGAGGCGCCAGGCTTCAGTCGGCCCCCGGCCGTTACACACACCCCTCACACCACCTCCCAACCCCCAGCCCTGCTCTGTCAGGGTCGCTAAGGCCCGGAGCTGTAGGCGGGGCAGAGCCGACCAATCCGAAGAGACTCGACCTCGTCGGCTGCCAATCGCGGCCGGTAAACAACACACCCCGGGCGGGTGGGGAAGGGGCGGGGCGAAGCCTCTCTGCCGGCCAATCAGCGACGGGGCATCCCGCGGACCAATCAGAACGGGGAAGGGTTTGGGCGGACTTTTTAAAACGGGTGCCGCGCTCAGTCCCTTTAAAGGCGTGATATGTTTATCTCTTTCTTCCTCCGCCGAGATTTAGCACTCCCACTGGAGGAGGGCCTTCTCGCTTCGCTTCTCATGGAGAGGGAGGGCTGATGGATATTTCCGATGTTCTCTGGTCCTCCGGGTCCTCTCTGAGCAAGCCTAGGGGGAGAGGCTGCGAGCGGACTATTTTACTTCCTGGCGGCGGCTCACTTGGGCGGGCCTCTCAGAGAGCGCTCCGCGAGTGGCCATCTGCGAGCCGCCAGGACAAAAACAAGGGGGCGGGGTCCCGCCTCCTCCATTTTGATGCGGGGTTGGGGCAGTGGTTGTGGGTAGGGGATGGTGTTGTTCCCTTGGGTAGCGTCGTGACTCCGCTTGGATGCGGGGCCAGCGGCGGGGACTACCCGCGTCGGTGCGGTGACGGGAGCCGGGCTCGCCTCCCCCTCCCGGCAGCGGAGGAAGCCAGCCGTGAGGGCCGCGGGGAGGGCCCGGTGCCCCCTTATCACCGCCCCGGGTGAGTGTGGCGGTAGGGTCGGGCTGGTCCTTTTGTTCGTCTCGCCGCTGCTGTGGGGCTCCCCGGTGGGGAGGCTCCCTTTGGCGGGGGAGAGTGGGGAGGTGGGCTACCAGCTGTTGACGACAGCTGTTGTCTGCCGTGAAGGTAAAGGATCCGGAGGCAGGGGAGAAGATGAGCAGCGAGGCGCTGTGGCTTTTCAAGCAGCTGAACCTCCACCTGGAGCAGGAGGGGCGGTTTCAGCCTCGAGAGAAGGGGCTCAGCCTCATCGAGTGCGCTGCCGAGGTGAGGGGTGGGGCGAGGAGCTGGGCAGGGTGGGTGGAGGCAGCCTCCTCAGGGCAGGAAATATGTGTTTTAAATAAATAAACTCTGAGCTACAAGAGAGGCATGCGTTAACTTGGATAAGTTAATTCTATAAATGCCACTTTTAATTGTCTTAATCTGGGGTTATTAACATAGACTACATCATCAGAAAACTCTGACTTGAAAGGCAAGCAAGATATTTAGGTATTTAACATTTATTGATAAATTTTCAAGTGGAAGCCACAGAAATGTGTTATTTTCATTTCGGGAGCTTTTTATACCACTGTGTTGTACCACTGCAGGAAAGGTGAGATGTCAAGTAGGGAACTTGGAAATGGTGAAGTAACTGGCTTTTCATTAGCAAGATCTAGGGAAATGAACCTAAAAAAGCTCAGGTACTCAGAAGCAGAAAATAAAAGTATAGATACTGCCGCATTAATGACCAGAGTTCCTTACTGAGTTTAGGGAAGGCTCACATTCCTGCAGATGCTTGAGTGTTTTTTGGAAATGTTTAACAAAGTAAGTCTCTGAAATCAGTCTTGGTGTTTGTTTTGAAAGCAGATCTTTACTTGTTTAAATGTTGACATGCAAGTAGAGAGGAGAATAAGCTGAGTTTTGTCATCTATTTCCATAAGGTCAGGACTCACTGTGGATTCAGGCACTTGGTAACTTGTCTTAGAATAACAAATGCATACTTGGAAATGTGATTGTGCTGGGTTTTGCACTCTTGAGACTTAAGACGTGGCTGAAATCCTTATAACTGGATGTGTTTTAAGTCTCAAATATCTAAGTTTAAGAGAAATTAGGTATTTAAGGATGATCCGTTTGATCTAAATAAGAGATGGCTTAGGGAGTGAGTGGTCGCAGTCATCACTGCTGCAACTGAGTAATTTTGACTTGGCTTTTCTTGTGACAGAATGAAAATACTCTGTGTCCGAGACAAAGGAATGCCAAGGTGGAAGATCTTTGGAGTTTGACCAACTTCTTTGGTTTTGCAACTGAAACGTTTGTTTTGGCTGTGAATATTCTGGATAGATTCTTGGCTCTTATGAAGGTATTGTGGGGGGAGAGGACCTGATACAGTGTCAGCTGGGAGGGAGTATGTGAGCTTCCTGTGAACTTCCTGATCTGACAAGAAGGGCAAGGTTGTGATCTAGGATGTAACTGTGGCTGTTCGCACATTCTGTGCTAGCAACATTACTGAAGTCCTCCTTTGGAAAACCTGATGTTGAGTACTGTTCTTACCAATAAAGGCAAATAGTAGCATTGTTTATTTCCTCTGTAGCTTTCACCATGTAAATGTAGAAGTCTAAGCAAGGAGGAACTAAGAAGGAGCAAAACCATTTGTGTTACAGACTGTTTCTAGGGACTGTGTTGAAGCTTAGCTTAGGACTGGAAATAATGCCGAATGATCATTTCATGGATGTTTTTGTGCTGCTCTATGGCAGATAGCTTGAACCTAAACTGGTTCCCCATTATGAAATTGGCAGAAAAAACAAAGTTGAATCAGTTCTTTGGTCTGACTGAGGTTACACAAAACGGTATGCTGGTATATGGGGGAGAACAGTAGAGGTAGGAACGAATCCTTGGAGATGGGACTGCCTGGAACAGGCTCAGGCTGGATTTGTATTGGCTTTAAGTGAGGGTGAGTGAGCACTGCCGCTTGGAGAAGCCAGGTATTACAGTTCTCACTGCAGTCTATTCAATGTATAGTGCTGTGGAACAATTCCAATTGAGGGTTCTCTGCTGTCGAACTGAAGTTTCCTCTGACATAGCTATGTCATATTGATACTCCTTTATTTGCTCTGTTAGCTGTGTTTGGCTGAAACTGAAGTGATGAAACTAGTTATTAGTAGGCAAGGTCTGTGAGTTGGCTTACATCAGGTCTAGCTGAGGTAAGCGCATCTTTCTATTGAACTTTGAATGTACAAAACAGCTCACCTATGCTGGGTGATCTGTTGATATTGCTGTTAGATAAGCGTGGTGTTTAAGGGGGGGAGGTATTCATAGTGCTTCCTCTTATTTTTAGGTGAAACCAAAGCATTTATCTTGCATTGGAGTTTGTTGTTTCCAGCTGGCTGCCCGAGTAGTCGAAGAGGAATGCAATATTCCATCTGCTCACGAGATCATCCGGATCAGTCAATGTAAATGCACTGTGTCTGACCTGAAACGGATGGAAAAGATAATTTCAGAAAAGTTGCACTTTGAATTTAAAGCTACTACTGCCTTAACCTTCTTGCACTTGTACCATACTATTGTACTCTGTCATACCTCAGAAAGGTGAGTTGAGTTGCACACTGGTGGTGGTCTGTAAGTTTGCGAAGCTCTTTTTCACTGCCTCTTAAATGCTATGGCCTTGGCTGTAGTGGAGGCAGCTCCTTAGTTTTTGCTTCCTGACAAGTAAATGATTGTTGACACACATGCTGCTTCTCTTGGGTGTTTTACAGGAAAGAAGTATTGAATCTCGACAAATTGGAAGCACAGCTAAAAGCTTGCAACTGTCGTCTAGTCTTTTCTAAAGCAAAAGTAAGTGGAAGTAGCTTTCTTTGACTTTTGAGTAGGCTTTGATTCATGTTAGGTTGAATGTTGGTTTTTTATGTTGTTTTTTTTTTTTTTGTCCTTCTAGCCATCTGTCTTGGCCCTGTGCCTTCTCACTCTAGAAGTTCAGACTCTGAAATCTGTTGAG